GGAGCCCAGTAGTACTCAATTGATGTATTATATATACCCCTGAAACACATTTCCAAAGCTCAGAATACCGGATATGAAGGTTGCATAAAGAAGGCATTCAGCCTGGACAGATTTAGCACTCCATAGGGAGCTCAATCCTCGAGACTCAAGCCATTTGTAAGAGACATGAAAATGATATTAATTTTTATCAAAAACTCTCTGTTTTACAAAACTTTTAGCTTGAGTACCTGAAAAGCATGCTACTTTACTATTGCAAGTAAATGGTATTAATTTTGAAGGGTAATTTAAAAGAATATTACATCATTATTGCAGGTGAATGATATTAAAAGTACAAGAGATTTGGTTCCATAGTACCTGGTTTGCAAGATGTTGAGAATTGATTCCATCTCACCGCCCAATATCACTTGTATCACAAAGCTTAGGATCCTGAAAATTCAGTTTGCAATTTCATTTAAATCTCCAAAATAATAGCAAGATAAATCATGACAAAACAACCCCCACCAATCCACTTAAAACCCAGAGAAAAGGGAGATCTTGAGTTTGAGCTAATTGACTCATCTTTCAAAAGGTGCTTAATTTAAGCCATACCTAGAAACCAATTTATAAAGATGTATAGATCACAAAAATGCCATAAAACCCACAATAAAGAAAAAAAAAATGAAGAAAGTGAAATGGAATAATAAAAGAAAAATGTTGTTTCAACCACAAATATTAACCAATCTTATTACCCTCAATTCTTTTTAACTTAGTTTTTGGAAATTTTGGCATCCTAAATACAATTACCATCAAATGACCAACGAACAAAACTCTAAGGAACAAGCAAAAGAAAAAGAAGAGAACGAAATGCAGTAAACAAGTCAAAATTTACTTACGACTTGGAATTTATGAGAGCTGAGCAATTATTTTAAAGCTGTAATTTCCCCCCATGCCATGCCTTTTCTGTTGTGGTGATTCCTAGATGGATCTCCCTTTTCTGTTCACTTCAAACCATAAAAATTATTTCCTTTAGCGACTAAAAGAATCTAAGATTGCAAATGATATAAAGAAAATGAAATAAAATAAACATGGTTGTTTAGGTAGTGAAAAAACACCTGCAAAGGTGGAAGAAGGCTGGCGATGAAGGGCTGTTAGAGCGTTCTCCAGTGCTCAACTCAGTCAAGTAAATGGAATTTGCGATTATAACAATATATCAAACACAAAAGGTATTACAAAAATTACATTTCAAATTGATAAAGAATCACATTCTATCAGTCAAACAGAGTAGAAATCCCATAACACAACATGCTTGACAACTTAATTACAACACAAAACAAATTACCAAATGAAATCAACACACTAAACCAAGTCCATCCAATAAATAAAAGACACATAAATTGAAAAAAAAAAGAAGACGATTATTGTCAATCAAATGAAGGAGTATTGGGTCTGGCTGAGTCTCATTTTTCTTTTGCTTTTTTGCTCCGAGAGAAGTTGCCTTCGCTTGATAAAAGATCCTACATGCAATATTAGAGCTTTAAAACATGTCAGAATTTAGAGAGAAGAAGCGACCAACAAATTGATCCTAAGAAAAGTTATAGGAATTGAAGACATAGTGAGTGATGAAGTTTGATTCCATGGTACCAAACTAGTTTGCAATTGCAAGATGTATATCATAAATATACAGAAAAAATAAATAAATAAGCAAAAAGAAGAAAAAATGGAAATATTAATGTTCCAACCACGATTTTATTAGTTGATCATATTTTCCCAAATTTTTAAGATGATAAGCATAATTCTCATGTTGTTTACTCGGTGATTAGAAGGGGCTCAATTTCCGCTACACATACCCAAAACCCAAGCAATAGAATAAAATAGCGAAATCTTGTACTCGAAAACACCAAAATTCAAAAAAAATCAAAGTAGGAATAGCGAAATCACAACTTACATAATTGGAGTTTATGGGACATGAAAGCAGAGGGCGGATGCCTCTCAATCTCATCTCTTCCAGAATCCGTTCTCTCTTACAATGGCTTCCCCGTCGTGTGTTGTAGAGGAAAGGCTTTTACTGCCATGTGTTATTGTGGTTGCACGTGACTTATTATTTACACACATCTACTGCTCTATAGGTTTTTTTTTTTTTTGAGAAAGTATCTACTGCTCTATAGTTATCTGAACAAAATTGAAGATTTCTCAAAGACTGCCCTTGCTGATGGGATGACAGAAATTTTAAGCAACTAGACAATCAAATTCAAATTAGAATAAATACTTACCATTCAATTATCAGAAATATTTCAAGAAAAGTTGGAGTATGTTCTTAGCGTTAGAATGGTCCCACTCCACAAATGATTCCCACCATTCTTTTGAATGTCTATCTATCCAAATTCCTCTGAGACAAGGAGGAGGAGATGGTTGGCCATTATCAAGCAAGGGAAGTTGCACAGGGATCTTCTTTAACTCTGGACATTCCTTTATCCAAATTTCTTCAATAGAATCACACACCCCTTTGGCACTACAGATGCTCTTCAATTTGGGTAA